CTACGAAGATACCGAGGAAAAATCGAATATTCGATAATTGAACAAATAAATAATCATTTTGGTGCAATTTACAAATTCTATTTTCGACTACCTGAGGGTGGTGAAAATTACATACCATTATTTTGGTGCAAATTACAACCACTATTTTTGGCTACCAGCAGTGGTGCAGATTATATATCTTTAATTTGGTGCAAATTACAAACTCCCCAGCAGACCACCCCTGAAATGTTTCAGAAAAAATTTAAATACTTTCAGTGTTCCAAGAACGTATTAAAATTAAAATTCATATGATTGTATGAAGACTGCAAAAGTCTAACATGATTACACACAGTATCAGCAAACCAAATTTTTAAGGATCCAAGTTAAACTTCCTCCCTATATATAACAATATAGGAGGGACAGTTATAAAAGCTAGATAATAAATTATCAGACAAATCTTAACTTCATCACCTCGATAATACTTAATATTCAAGTCTAACATTTAAAACGGCCATTTGGACAGTCAGTCAAGAATTATATTATGCGAATTGACGACAGGTAACTACGAAGGTAGTAAGGCACCTAAATAATATAATATGAATATTGTATTAAAGAATTACAACCAAGACGATACCGATGATAATAGAATAAATCGTGATTTTACTACCTAATGTTATGCCTACAACACTCACTACAATACTAATAGGTACATACACGACACACATAACTGCACAAGCGCATATAATAATTTAATGACATAGACACATTGCTAATGCTAGTCATGGTAGTGAAGAGGAGCAGAGGAGTCAATAGTAACGTCTCTACACAAGAGAGGCAACCCCAAAACTTGAATGGAATGTACCTAACCCATTGTATGCACCTGACCGGGTGTAGGGTGGACTAGCGGTGGTTACGCTTTCCCCTCCCCCCACACACATAAACATGAGACAAACCTGTTTTTTTATTTTTTTATACACGGCTACATGAGGTGCGGTAGTATCATATTATTATTATTAAGTCGTCCCGTAGCGGCGTAGCACATCCGAAACGGCATATTCTTAAAACATTATGTAGGTATTAGTATGTAGGTACTTTTAAACATATACCCATAACTAAGGTGATTGTTTTACGTGGAAATAATTCACGATCCGGTATTATTAATATATATTAATTTCTGTAAAAAAATTAACCATAGGGTACTCACCAAAATTTCACGTCAGTGAATTATTCCTCTATCAAAAGTAATATCTTCGACACCTATATAGATACAGTAAGAGCGTCTGAACGGCACTAGACTCGCAAGATATCAGTATTATCGTAAAATCCGTATTCGATTACATGACGTTTTGTCTTAGCGAATTGACGACACCGAGAAAAAATTATCACAATATTATATCGTTTGAAATTCACTCGATGCGCATTGTATGTTTAAAATATCAAAACAATAACAAAGTGTAGTTTTATTGAGCTGTAATCACAAAAACGACGTACCGGCGAATAATTAATATTCTTCGAATTATTTTAAAGAGCAAATAAGAGCGATTGGCAACAAACAACGACATTCATCCGTTAGTCATTGGTACACTGACTCTGTGGTGGTTTCGACGAAGTCGCCCGGCTGGCACGGCGGCTTTTCACCGGACAACCAATTACCAACTGTGCAACGATAGTGCGACCGCGCAGTGTGTACCAACTGCATTACGGCGACGACGCGAAGCATCAAGCGACTGCAGCAGCTGCTACTTCGTGCGTGCAGGTAAGTTATCTACAGGTACTCCRCCTATATACAGTTTCTTTATCCAACGACACACATCCCCTTGTACAATTTTTACGATAATTATCAGGTACATACAACATAATATAATTGTTTCAAAAGTTCGTTTCTTTATAATAATATTTTGTATTTTGTAATACATGGGTGCCTACTATGTATCTACTAAAACACCTATTATTTTATGTATAGTTGTATAGCAGAGTTGGCCAACTTGCAACTCATGTCTTATTAAAAAAAAACCAAATTTAATTTTTAACGACAAAATTATAAAAATTATAAAATATACCTATTTATAAACATTTTGGCTATTTATATCATTGTATTCATAGATGTATATTCATGTTAGCCACCCTGTTATTATATAGTATTGTACTGAACACAACAAACATTATTTGAAAATACATTCTACTATAAGTAAATTTTTTAAAGTATGTATTTAAAAATACTTATTGAATATCTAATATTTTGACTAATATMATTCGAAATAGTAAAATTCAAATAAATACAAAGCATAATCAATTTTCATTTAAATAATACCATTGAGTATAGATAGTATTATATTATATATCTATACTCAATGAT